ACACCTGCCTGCTTAATGAGCTCTGTCTGTCACATAACTGACCCCATATATATCTTTGCTATTTAGCGTTAACTCTGTTACAGCCAAAGCTGAATTGGGATATTATGTAAATCTACACATAAAGCTTCCATAAGTCACTCAAAGGGTACATGGATCTTAAGTGTATTAAAAGGAAATTTCACTCAAAACCAAAATGAGTCTTGTAGTGGCAGAAAAGCTTGGAGATTACCAAAGTAATTAGATTCTGTTTCAACTTCATTTTCTTAGAAGTGTTTCAAGATTAATCTAGAAATGTTGACTTAGTTCTTAAAATTAAAGATGACAATAAAAGATATCCAAGATGAAAGTCAAGATACTATTTCGACTTTAATCTCAAAATTTCCAATTAATTCTCCAAAATAGTATTTCAATGAGAAATTCAACATACAAATTTGAGAATAAACTTGAAATACTATTTTGAGATTAAATTCAACTTAAATTCAAATTTAACTTTTTTCTCAAAATAACATTTTAAAATTTGTCTTGAAATTTTGATTTCATTCTAAAAATAATAATAAAATAAATTCCCCTCTCGACTTCCAGGCCATACTTGGCACAGATGTTCCTGTATACTATGCTGGCCACTTGGATATGGCGTCCCATGTATGCCCTGCCTGTCAGCATCTTGCATCCTGCTGTTATGTGCTGGATTAGCTCAGGGGCATCTTTACACAGTCTGCATCTGGGGCCTTGCCTGGTGTGATAGACCCCAGCCTCTATGGATTTTGTGCTTAGAGCTTGTTCCTGTGCTTCCAATATCCTTTGTGCTGACTTTAAGTCCAGCTTTATCCAGCCACTGGTAGGATTTCTGGATGTCAGTCACCTCCTCTATCTGCCGGTGGTACATGCTCTGCAGGGGCCTATCCTCCCATGATGGTTCCTCCTCTTCCTCCTTCCTTGTTTTTACTGTTTAGCTGGCACCTCGGGACTTGCCTGACTCTCTGCATTTGAAGCTTTCCTAGCAGCCTCTCCGTGGTTCTCTCTATCTATCTCTCTATCTCTCTATCTATGTAATTTGAACAATATTGTCAAATGTCAAACGTAATATTAACCGACTCCGTCCCTTCCTTACTCCCCATGCTGCTGCCATCCTTGTCCTTAATCTTATTCATCTTACTGTTCCGTCCTCACACCTTATTACTATGGAGAACAGAGCTTTCAGTCGCTCTGCTTCCCGGCTCTGGAACTCTCTTCCTCCTGCACTAAGAAATATTGACTCCCTTTCTATTTTAAGACACAGCTCAAAACACATCTGTTTAAACTGGCTTATTCGCTTTAATGCTGATTTTATCTGTTGTCACGCTCTGTTTTGTAATTTTAACTTATTTTATGTATTTTATGACAATTGTTCCTTTTATTAATTTTGTTTTTGTAAGGTGACCTTGGGTTTTTGAAAGGCGCCCTCAAATAAAATGCATTATTATTATTATTATTATTAAATGTATTAATAACAACAACAACAATTAACCTTTAATAAAAAATATTATTATTGTTCGTGGACCTAACAGCCCCTCGCCAATCTTTTATCGAACTGAGGGGATGAGGCCGAGTCACACCGAACCCTCTTGTTCGATATTTTAACAATAATTTCCGTAAAACCCTTAAACGCATCACGAGTGCGCTGAAGGAAACGCCCTTTGGGTGGGCTTACAAAATGTTTCTCCGTTTTGCGACTTTAACAGCGTACCGGCGCGTATTAACTCTGTAACCTTCTTCTACTACCCATGTATTTATGTAGGGTAGGTGTAATATGAAGTCTATATACTAAAAGAGGTACAAATGAACCCCAAACGCAGGGTGCTTTGTGCCTAACTGTTTATTCGAGACTCGGAATCTCTGAATCCCTGCACATCATCATGATCTTATTGCTGCTTCTAGTTGCCAGTCTTGGTGTTGGTAAGTAAGGAAGCTCATTTCCACGTTAGTAAAGCAGCTTTAATAATGCTGAAGTCTGGGACTCAGCATCAGTGCTCAGGATCACCCTTTATTATTGTATTTAAGTGCAATTATCTTAACTCTGATAACACGGTATAATTATGAACATGTCAATGTAAATATGCCAGAATTAGCAAAAGTAATTTGCAATAACAACATACATTAATAATTTTTCTCTCCTCTCCAGGCCTTGAAAATGTTGAAAATTATGAAGTGGAGTATGGAAACAGATTCAGGATGAGGGTGTCAAGAAGGGTTCACTTTATCGAGTTAATCCCCAAGAACAAATCAGAAGGGACGATCTTGTGGGAACGTGACGAAGATCAGCCCAAAGAGGGCAGTAGATGGAAGATGACTGAGACCTTATATACCATCAGTTCTTTAGCCCAAAAAGACAGTGGCCGCTACATATTCAAAGACAACTATGGGGAATTGATGCATGCGAAGATCATTGACGTAAAAGGTGTGGATCTTTTTAGTCCTTGATTTATCTAATGTTTTTTTCTTTTTCTACAGGTGTGCTAAACTTTTACCACAAGCCTATAGTTAGATTGACCTACAAATCAATGAGAGCGTAACACTACTGTAACAGCACTTTTAAAGTCTCTAAAGCCAAACTGCGGTATATAACAAATATGCATTTAGTTAAGTCATATAGCTCTATACTCTGTAAACTGGATTTTATAAAGTCCACCAGAGCAATGCAAATCTAAAGCTCAATAAAGGACATATGGGTTGGTTCGTTTTAAGCCTTTTTAAAAGGACAGGTTCTGGTTTTATGGAGATTCTCACAGCTCATCTTCAGAAGCATCATACACGACAGTAACTTAATTTTCCTTAAATCGGACACAAAACCCCCCAAAAAACTTACACCACGAACCAAGACAAAGTTGAACACATCATATACTTAAAAACCCCGTCCACTGCAGGGGAAATCACCATGTGCAACTGAGGGGGAAACGCTGATAAAAGTCCTATAGACACCCTACAATGAGTTGAAATATTAACTTGTTATTTATTTCTCCATATGTAATTTTTGTCATTTGTATTGTGTCACTTTGTATGTCCCTCACGATTTCCCGTCATCAACCCCTCCCCTAGAGCTGCCCCTGCTTCCTACAGATTCCTCATGCATTAGTGCATTAACTTAAAAATCACTTTAATATTTTCTTTATCAGAGGTCACAAAGAGCTATACCCTGGAGACTAATCAAGTCCTGAACATCACTTTTGATCTGGAACCGCACTCCTGCAACATTTACTTCTTCCCTGGCGAAAACAGTAAGACTGCGATAGTCCTTAAGGGCAGGCTGCAGCGTGATTTGAAACAAGTGGATTGCGTGGGGTTTGAGCTTTTAAAGCCATGTGGGATTGTACACAAGGCCATCCAAAAGACATGCAGTGGACGGTTTGAAGTCAGAGATGATAATGATGACAAAGCCTTGGTAGTTTTCCTGGAAATGGAAGGTAAATAAACTAAGATCATTTTCATTATACAGTATAGTTTGCTTTGGGCTGATTAACAGACTTTGTTTCAGAGCCACAGTTCAGTCAGGCTTACCTCGGTATTGGTGGTGGTGCGTTGTTCTTCACACTGTGCTGGTGTTGCTGCAAGTACTGCTGTTGTGGTGAGAGCTCCTCAGCAAAGGAGAACTCAGAAGCAGCTGCAGAGAATGATAGCGAGCCTGCTGTGTATTACCATGAGGTGAACATGATCTGCTATTTTTTTGCTTTTTGTGTATTTATTTTTTTTAGTTGTGTTTATATTGTCTGTTTAAATCGAACTGCAGTTTGAGCCTGTGGGTCCGGGATCAAACCAGCACTGTGAACTCTCTAATCCACCCAACACTGATGAGGCTCCTGATGCTCCAGTTGACCTGCTGGTTAGTGTATGAACTCAACTCCTGAGCCATTTTTATTCTCCTCTCTTTCCTGCTATTAATGTGTGTTGTTGAACTCTGCAGATACACAGTTCTGCTGCTACGGATTCTCCACCTGCTTATTGTGAGGTGAGACCTAAGTGCATGTTCAATGCAGTTTTGAAACTTCTTTAAACTTAGAAACGAGACTTGGTTTAAAGGCTAAATGTGCAGTGACACGTCTGTCTTTTTCCTCCAGGTTACACCGCCGGCGAAGCAGGAAGAGGCTCCAACCATCACTCCCACCTCCGACCCTGAGCAACGGTTTGAATTGAAGGGGACAATTTTCAATTCTGGTCCGCCACTCAGCTCAGCCTCAACGTACTGTGATGTTTATACCTCAGAAAAATTCAACTTCTTCTAAAAGTCTTGATTTTGAACTGTGTTCTTTAGTACGGTGACGAAGGGATAATTTGACATTTCAGGGAATAGGCTTGCCTGACATCTTTGAGCCAAGAAAAAAAATGTTTTGTAACCACTGGTACATTTACAAATTTATGTTTCTACAGATAGTTTTTTATGGATAAAAAAAAACCTTAGAACCAAAAACATTTTGAAGCTTGTGTCTTCACTGCTGCCTGCTGTAGTTCCATATTTATCAAGGAGAAAGAAAATATGTATTTTCGGATTTTCCTCTGTCTTTTTGTTTTTTATGTTGTGATTTTTAAGGGATACGGCACATTAATTAACACTACTGTAAATATATTTTTCTGTTCTCTATAGTTCTGTCAGGAATACGTTATGCATTACAGACCACTGTGAATGTGATATTTTCAGGGAAGATATATGTAGTAGGCACGTTGCAAAAACTGAGGTTTTACAGTTAAATGTGGAATCTGAGTCATATTAACTTAAATAAGGGAACTGTTTTTAGCTCCTGAGAAAGATGCATTCACAGTTTGTATGAAATGTGAGACTGCTAATGAAGATGCTTATTTTAGACTTTTTTGTTATTGTTGCTTGTATGAAGAGTTCATATCTTAGTATTTAATCATATCTTGTACACAAAAAGCAAACTTAGAAATGCAAGGGCCATCAATATGGAAATATTTCTATGCTTTACCAAAGACCTACCCTCCTGACATGTGGTTTATGTTTTGTTTTTATATATTTGATGTATTTGTGTCCATATGTGGGAACTTTTGATCTGTTACATTTAGTTACAAGTGCAATACCCCTTCATCCTGTGAAAGTACTGTCGATTGTGTGTATTGTGTGTATGTTATTTAAGCACTTTCTGAGAAGACTATATGCTGTAAAACCTTTTAAAAAACCCTTATGGACATATCAGCATGTATTTAGACATCTGTTACATTAAAGCTAGCATTATCCTACCTCTACAACTTGTTTGGTATTTGCATTTGTTCCCCTGCACAATTTACCTTCACTAATACTTAAAGCACCTCCAACAGTGTCACCAGAGAGCCAAAAGCTCATCCAAGCACATAAATTCCTTTCTGCCATAGCAGCTGGTTCACAGAAGACAGGCAGCAGAGCAGGACTCAAACTACAACTGAGGCTTTTCTGTCTTGAGAAGAAAAACAACAGAACCTCAGACCTGTCTGACATGCACAACAAGTAGTCCTGTGTAGAGACATTTAAAAAGGTTTATCAGCTCATGCTTTAAGAACTGGAGTATGTGTTCAAACTAACTTTGTAATAGCAGAAGAAACACACAAAATAAAACTCTAAGCACTAAAACCTCGTGTGACTCATTTAATTTCTTAAAGTTACTTAAAATTAATATGTTTTTGTTTAGCCTTTTCCCACAATAATTGGCAATCTCTGTGTAGGTTATATCAGAGACGTGGGAATCCTATAAAGGCTATAGCATGTATGCTATTGTGTAACAAAAATGTGAAAATATCCACTTCCATTCTTTCACAGCTTGAGTTAGGGTTTGTTTTGCTTTTTAAGTTTTTGGGGAAGTGTAACTAGAAGATTTTCTTTTAAGTGACTAAGAAAAGTTTGGAAGGAGTTGCAAAATCTGCATTTATCTGTGTTTTGGACACCTGGTGAACATATGCCCAATATTTAACGCTCTCTAAATTCTGTTAAGGGAAACAGCTGGCTCTTTAGGTGCTCTAAAGTGTTCATAAGCTAGCTGCTGAATCGGTTTGCCATTTCTGTATAATTAAGTGAAGTTGTGGCCTGGGAAATCCAAATGCATAAAAAGGGTTGCAGAGCTGTGAGAGGAAGAGCTGGTGTCTAATTCTTGCTTTATCCTTTTAATCTTTTAAAAGAAATTCATTGTAGATACATTTAGCTGCAACACTCTTATCAGTTTCCTCCTTTTTTCACTGATGTGGTGAGAAAAAAAAGGTTGATTTCACGATAGAATTGTATCTGGTCTGCTTGGCACTCCACCAAAGAACAGCGTAGGAGGATTTTGACTATTGATGGTGAAGGGGAGCAAGCAGAAGTGATAATTTTGGCACTGAGGTCAGGTTGCTCCATTCCCTTGATGTGGCAGTGGGGGGTGGCAATTGGTGGTAAGAACCCAAAGGATTAAAAAGCTTCCAGATGACAGAGCCGTTGGGACCCAGCCTGGCAGATGGGAGTGAAGAGGCATGGTTGTAGCTAATTGAACATAAGTCATCAAATATAAGATGTGTTGCTTGATGCTTGTGCTTATGAAGCCTAATCTAAGATGCCATCAGTGCATGGAAGGTTCTCAATCAGGATAGCTGCATGATTACGCTGGGTTACGCTGGTCTGGCAGTTGGTCAACCACTTCAGCCCAGACAAAAATATCAGTTGGATTGGCTGCTGTAATGGACTTTCCCTTAGTGATACCAGAAGGTCAAAGATTGTACTTTTGCATCTCAATGGTTCACCATTCATCATTCTTTGATGGTTGACCCCCAGGAATGTGTACCAAAGGAACAGAATACGTTGCTTTTTTGCACAGTGCTTGCAAAGGAAACAACATTTCCATTTAGCTCAGTTGTCACTGTGGAAACTGTGGTCATGGTAAGCAGCTGGCTGAAATGCACACAGAGTTTGCATGACTGAAGCTTTTCTCTTTGAACTGAAAATTTTGTAAAATATTTTATTGTGTTTGAAATGGTGCAACAGACAGGGCAGAAAAGGACTGTTATGATCTCATTTATGGAATTATTTCCTGTATGCACAGTCATTTTCTTTCTTGTGTAGCCTTTCAATACATTTTGTTTGTCATAGTAAACAAGTTTCATGTGGCTTGATTGCAGACGAAAAGAACATTTTTGATTAAAAATCCCAGAGATTACTTTATTACCCATATCTCACACAAACAGGCTGACAGAAATCAGTTACTATTTTTCTTAACTTGCATTGCCATCACCTTTGTCCATCTTAACTCCTGTCTGCCTTTTCTCATCACTACTCCTTTTTCTTACTCTCTACTGCGTTCACTCGGCCCTCCAGGCGCCTCAGTCGATCCTCCACAACAAAAGACTTTTCAGAGCTCGAAGTGAGCAGCGTCAAAAAGACGCATACCAGCACTAAGCCAGCCAGTCGAACTGCCGTGGTGTCTGCGGACGCTTGCTTATCAGTCACTATCAGTCCAAAAATCCAGAGTCCCAAGACAGTTTTGATAATCCAGAAGACCTGCTTTATCGCACCAATCAGCAGACGCAGAACGATGGACAGCAACCAGTAGCCAATGAGGGCCACCAGACCCCACTGGGCGACGGCCGTCACACCCTCTGGAGTGAAGTGGGGCAGTTTCAGTGTAGCTGTGGAGGGAGGAAATCCAGCTTAGCCGTGTTGTTAAAAAGAATAAAGCTTGAAAATACTTTCTGTTACACAGGAAGCAACAAGAGCAAACACTTACAATTAAAAAGGAGTGGCTTACAAATTGCCCGGAGGGAGAGGCAAGTCTGCATATTTTCACTTGCATTTTTTATTGCCATGGATTCAACTTTACGTGAGCACACACACACACACACACACACACACACACACAAACAGACACACACATAGGGGCTCATCCTGCTACCCACCATCAAATCCAGTGACTCTGAGGATCTCTGTGACGTAAACAGCGATGACATTCAGGCCGCTGGCAGCTCCTTCGGCCAGGAATCGGATCACCATCTCAAAAAACTGGAGTGGTGTGCAAGGAGGGTGGAGACATGCTTTACATTTGTTATTACACAAGGCCACAATTAAGTAACATGGCATACTGGCCAGACTGAAAACCATGCAGAGAGACGACAGAAGACAATGTGCAGGCAGTGTGATTCATAATGCTGACAGGAGCAGCTGGTACAAACTCACTGATCGCATTCAGCTGGGAACTTTAATAGCCCTTATGAGCGGCATCTTAAGATAGAAGATGTGCCGACTTGGACAAACAGCTGTGCGTGCTGGTGACAGCTGGACAGCACCCCTCTCTATTCCTGTGCACCCTCCACCCCCGACTCACAAAACAACACACACACAGACACAGTACTGCAAGGTCAAGGGGAGCCCAGCGAGTTGGACGCATATCTAATCTGCACCTGTTGCACTACACAAGGCCACAAACTTAAGAACTTCATGCCAGTGTCTGTGTAACTCATAAACAGGTGTAATAACCTTCTATTGGTTTTAATTTCCAAAACTTTTAAAGCTTTCATAACTGTAAAATCGGGCTTATTTACTTATTACACTATTATACCAAAGATTTTGCTCTTTTACACTGATTTTACTGGGAACTATCAGCACAGCGTCCAGATATGTTGTTTAGCTTAAATCTGAAGTTGCAGAAACAGGCTTTATTTTCAGTTTGACTGCATGCGGGAAGTTAACTCACACATTCAGACACACTAGGTGATTCATGGTGAACTACTAATGCACAATGACTTTTCCACACACACACACATACACAAAAAAGCTCACAAGTAAAGTGAGCCCTTACATGCAAATATCACTGTACTGAAACACACAGCTTCTCTACTCTCAGCGCTATATGGTGTAACACGACATGACACGACATGGGGCTAAACTGAACCAAGTGAGTGGGCTCTGTTTAAGGCACCATGTCAGGGCAGCACGATGGAAACAGCCAGGAATGTTGCTTACCATGGCCAATGTACCGACGTTCTCCTGGCCAAGCAATGACTCAAGAAACAACACTGCACTCTGAGGGAAAAGGGAGCCACCAGTAGTAGAAGGAGCAGGGAGGCGGAGATGAGCGTGTGGAAGAGTGCGAAGGGGTGAGGAGAAGACAGAAAAATGAGGGCAGAGAAGATGATGGGGGATCAGGAAGGGAGATTATCAAGTTGAAGAGCACATGGAGGGGAATGCGTGTGTAGAGGGTGAAGTGATGGGTGGAGAAAGGTTAAAGAGAAAGGTTGGAGCTTTCAGAATTAGTAATCGGGTACAGTTAAGCACAGAGCGAGAATACTGAGAGAATAGTGAAGTTAGACCACCGCATTTTAACAATTCAAATCCACTTCCTGGTGCAAGGAGGAAAAGAGCGTTATCCCGCGGTGCACCTCCCCTCTTTACCTCAGCAGCTGATCGTATCACGCTGGTTCCCACTAACGACTCCGCGTACCGGTGGATCTCCTGGCAGGTTCCCGTGAAAACGGTACGCAGGGTAACCACCGATGGGCTGTCCGCCTTGGCCTGCTCAGCCCGAGCTTCGGCTCCAGCCCAGGCCACCGTCAAGCCGAGAGCCAACACACAGATAGTAAGAAAAACCCGAGCCATGGCACATCCACTGCGCTCTCAGCCCAGACGCACGGAGTCACTGAAAGGAGGTTTGAGAACAATGTGTGCCAAGTGAACGCGCACAGGTTCACGCTGCAGCTCAGAGCAGGTTGAGCAGCTCGTGTTCAGTGACTCAGACAGAAAATCACAGACTTAAAAATGGCTTCTGTTGGGAGCATTCGCTGACTGCACACCGAGTTTTAAATCAACATGTAGCACCAACAGGCAGAAGGACAGGCAGTAGAAGGCGCACGCTTTTACAAATAATAAGACATTCAAGTGTAAAATTTGAAATTCAGATAAAACACAGGTTTAAAAATCCTTTCGGTTTCAGGAGGATATTATTACTATTGGTGTTTAATTATAAACTCTGGCTGCACTGCAAAAAATATCCAATCCTGGAACTCTGCGCTCCCCAAGGACGCTCCAGCTATATTTGGTAAGAAACCGTTAAAGGCTTAGATCCAGCAGCGATAGAGATATGAGATCATCAGTCAAAACGTAACGGAAAGTTACAGCTAAAAACAACAACAAAAAAACTCCCGCAGTGTATGAATCCAAAAGTGGTTTGTTTCCTGGGCAGATCTGCAAGAAAACGACCGAAACTCTGTGTGAGCTGGCCACGAGTCTCCTAAAGCCTCTTATTTCAGCTCTGAGCCCCACAGCGATCGAGGTTGGTG